CACTTTAATTATAGTACAAATATTACAAAGCATTGAAGCAAACCCTCAAACATAAGTTATAATTGTAAATAAGTTAGGGTACATTAGGTACTGGCTACATAAGCCCCAATAGTCAAATCAATCAACAATCTGTTTTCCACGAGAAAATCCAAGGAAGTACCTAATAATTTAAATCCGCCATTGGAAGTCCACGTGTTTAATGGAAATCAGCAAAAAGTGTAAGTGAGAGCTGTTCGCTCCATTAGTCACCATCTGGGAGTGACGGCTGCGCAGCCGCGGCCGGTGCCACCGAGCTAGTGCGGCTAACACTACACCTAGGAGACACGACACTTTCTATCATCTGTGATGGAGCCTACACAGGTACGACTCTAATAATAATCGATTGAAATTACTTAGATTTTTTTATTCCTTTTTAATTTTAGGGACTTTTATACCGTACAGCGTATGTCAGTCCCATCGTAACACTTAATAAGGTATAAATCAACTAGAGATCAATGAAGTTGAATAACATTCTCGCATTATCAATACTCGGCTCATTTAATATTTTATGGAATGTACCTATATCGTTTTTGTAACTTCAAGTCCCTTAGAAATTTTCCATGTGTAATTAGTCGAAGAAATAGTTATAACATTAAAACGAATACTAACAAACAGTACCTAAGTTGCGTAGCGGTTTGCTACGAGCCTACCACGCACGGGACAGGTATGCACATAGGTATGAGTAATATTATAAGACAAATTATATCACCCTCAAATCAAGGAACATCATTGTAGTTCGTACCTAGTAAATAAAGTTCGAAGAAGAATGTCGTGTCTGACCGCCATTCTTTGAGCAACACTCGGCCCTCGACCAAGATTAATGATATCCACCGAGATTCTGGACCATCACACCGCGGCGCACACTCGTTGAATTAATTATAAGGACACCAGCTCAAACTGTGATTAATTGCAAACAAATCTCCAGACCACCGCGCCTCGCCGTGTCACTGATACACTTTATACCACGCGGTCTGTGGGACTTTGATTAATCGAATGTTTACTTCATTTAAGTTCTAAGAATACTTGTAATCCTAAATGTATTTCGCAGACTAGGTAAGTTGTTGGACGTTCAAAATTTTATGTTGACTGTAGAATCATAAATATCTATGAAATGAAATTAATCTTGCTCGTCGTGTAGAAATAATTCAATATACAATTGACTAATTTCTACATCATTAGCACGAATGTTTAATGAGATCTATGTTTGCCTTATACATAAATAACAGAACTAAAAGAGCATTGCAACACAATAACGCTAAAATATTTATCTAGGATCAATTACAGTGGGTGCTCCCAAGTAGTACACAGGCACACAGGAGGCAGTGACGTGCCGCAAATAAATCAGTTAATGAACGCTACACCGAGTTCACAATTAATTGAGCTGGGCGGCCAACTTAGTGCCCGAGGATGCTCGCTCACGATAGCCCACTGGCTACGGCACCCGCTAATACGATTACACGCATAAATTATTACACCTACTATTGGCTCTAGTTTACACTGATTTATTTATTACAGTATTGTGCTTACCTCCGTGCTTGGAGCTCTTATAGACGCTATTGATGATAAGTTTATTGAATCAAAGTCAAACGTCAACAAACCAAAATAAATAATAGTCTGGCAGGTACTCCGTCAGTAAAGCTAGGTGAATCTGACTTATTATTATTTTATAGTATAATTAATATATAATAACAATAATTATTATTATTAATAGTACCTAAGTACAAACACATACCTACTGACCAATATCAGTATAACTATTCTGACTAGGTAACTACCTAAGAACCTATGTATATTTCAGTAGTGCACAGCGCTCAGTCTTGTTCGTAAAATAGCTTACAAAATCAGCTGTGCTTACATCCTCATTAGTCCCTCGAGATGTTGATGTAAACGTCGTTATCGCGGACAAAACACGTTGAAATATTCAGCGGCCGCGACCACACGATGTGGCTCCTTACATTAATGGCTGCCGCTCCTGGGACCTGGCTAATACTGCAGACCTGGATCCCATCTATTATTAACCCGAGATAAGTGATCGAATACGACCTAAGAAATGTAGGCAAGCGTCTCTTATATATGTTAACATTCAAGATTTTTTATTTGCTCTCGATCCTCGGCGAACCTCTTCAACGGCCCTTCTTAAGCGTTTAGTCGTAAGACAAACAGAACGTGAAAGATTCATGAGGATAAATGTTAAGGAAATTCTTGAAAACGGTACGAATTTTGGAAATGTTTGAACTTTGAATTGAATTTTTCCGGCTTTAACCGAAATATTAAGAGTTTAAAAACTCCAAGTTATATCTACTAGACCTCAAATTTCTTCATTACCAAAACGTGTTTTTTATGGAATAAACCGGTAAACGAGTAGACAGATCACCTGATGGTAAGCAGTCGGCGTCGCCCATGGACACCCGGAACACCAGAGGTGTTACAAGTGCGCTACGGACTTTCGGAGGATTAGGAATTTGAGGGTTGTTGCAGATTCAGATTGGGGAGATTGGGGAAGGGGGGGTCGTAATTAGGACTCCGGTAACCTCACACAAACGACGAAACACAATGCAATCGTTGTTTCACGTCGGTATTCTGTGAGGCTGTGGTACAACTCCAGTCGAGCCGGCACATTCGTGCCGAAGCATGGCTCGCCCGCACTTGGAAATCTCCTTAAATTTGAAATGAGCTAACATATCGTATGTCTCTGAACCCATCCAATTATCATAACATTACGCAAACAAGGTGATAAATCACAGCCACCGAATGAACTAAGTTCAAAATTGAATTTAGTCGATGGCACATCCAATCAGTAGAGATAGAGGCTGGGCGGGCTTGTCTAATCAACACTAAATAACGAGCCTGACGTGAAGCCGCCATGACAACATGGCACTAATATACGCGTAATCCAAACTCAAACTCAAACTCAAATGCATTTATTTCAATTAAACCATAATTTGGTACTTTTGAAACGTCAACAAATATGAGATATATAATAGTCTGTCAGTCTGTCCGTCAGTGAAGCTAGGCGCTCGTTCCAAAATGTCGATTCGAGTGGAGAAGAACGAGCAAGAAACTCCATTCGTTAGCAAGAAACTCCATTCGTTAAGCAAGAAACTCCATCCATCATTGCAAGCCACTGGACTGGGTACCAATCTAAGTATTTACATTAAATACTGTTTATATCTTTTGACGTATCAGCTTACCGTACAATTAACTAATTTTGTTCACCTTCTTTGATTATCATTTACGTGCAATATTCTTAATAAATCAATCTTTGACACATTTCGTACAAGAATATTAAATCAGCTATTACATAGATACTATCAACGTGGACCAATAATAGTGTCCAAGGTTTTACTGTACCTAAATGGCATTAAAACTTTGTGTTCCGTCGACTAAGTTATTACTAACGCGCTATTTTAAACGGTTGGCTCCACGCTTCCAGCTTTTGCATAACTTACGAGAACTTACAAGTTATGCGCCTCTTGACAACTTTAAGTTTTTCCTATGGAGCTATCTGCGCACTGCGCTATAATTTCCTCAGAGGAGATTATCGGTTTTTAATTACCGACTGCAAGATGCTTCCCGCCTTTGTGTAATATTAAACTACTTTACTACTTTAGTTGTTAAACTACGTTTAGGTTCAGACTCTCTTAACTTGGAAAGTTGGAATCTTAAAATTGTTTATGAAAATGAAGGCAAATTGTAAGCTTACAAGTTAAACTTCCGAATACCATCTAATAGACTTATTTGTTTTTTCTTTCTAGATGCAAAAGTTTTCAGAACACGAAACGAGGCGAAGTTTGTCGTATTCCAGGGTGTTCCGTAACGCCATCTATCGGCCAGCAGCCGACACCGATCCGAATGCCGCATGTACAAGTTGAAACATTTCGTCTTTTTATTCAATATGTTTATACTGGCAAGGTGAGCCAACGTTCTTTTTTCAATCCTAATAAAATTATGTTACTATGTAATTAAGTGTTTACATAATAATTTACTTTCTATAATACTAAAGAGCAACGTAGTTATAAAACATACGCCTAGATGACGCTATTCTACACTAGAGCAGAAATTAGTGTTAAAAATGCATTCTCAAAATAATAAACAATAATGTGTTCTAGCTTTTGCTGCAAGACTCAGGAGTTTTTGAAATGATGACTTTAGCAGCCGATTTAGGTGTAGAAGATCTCAGATCAGCGTGTGAAGATCATGTCACATCAACGCTGAGTGTAGAAAGTGCGTGCACATTGTTAGCTGCAGCAATGGAAATTCAAGATCGACCAGGTAAATATTATCTTTTCGTGTGTAATATCTTTCATATCTAATATTGAACTCAAATTTCACAAAGTACCACAAGTGCGATGGTGGTGTAATGGTCAGCATAGTTGCCTTCCAAGCAGTTGATCCGGGTTCGATTCCCGGCCATCGCACACTTTTTGATACTACATACAAACTTTCTTTTTCAAAGATATTCAGTGTATTTGCAAGCAATTCATGTTATTTTATCTTCTAAAATAAATATATTTTTAACCGCAAACCAAAAAAATTGCGTTATTTTTTTATGTAGATTATTACTATGATAAAACTCAAAGACAATCTAAAATAACATATATTATCTGAACTAAATCACAACGAACGGTACCTACATAATTATATAGTGGTTTTATTAATTTGTCTACTTTATCGAAAACATTTTTTATTTGTTAGTTTTTTTTTTTTTTAATGTCGTCTTGAATCTATTCCCGATTTTTCTTTTAGTAACCTCTAGTCTATTTAGCACATCAACACATCACACGTAATATTTGAAATCATTCTGATTAAAATTCATTATCTTTTCCATTCTTATTTTTGATAATATTTATTGACGAAAACGGCAAGATACTGAAAAATATTTGGTTAATCAACCAATATTTTACGACTGACAACCCTAAAAGCAGGCGTCATTCCGACCATAGACAAATCTTGGAGTTGGACATTGACATTTTGACAGATTGAAAGCCGCCAAGCCGGATAATTGCTTGCTAGCATTTTGTTTGTGACAATAAATCTAAATTTTATCGAAAGAATATAATTCAAAATGGCATACAAAGGCCCACCAAAAGTCCAAAAGGTGATGGTGCAACCCATCAACCTTATCTTCAGGTATTTGCAAAACAGAAGTCGAGTGCAAATTTGGCTGTACGAGAACGTGAATCTACGAATCGAGGGACACATCGTGGGATTTGACGAATACATGAACATTGTGTTAGATGAAGCTGAAGAAGTGCATATGAAGACCAAGAATAGGAAGCAAATCGGAAGAATAATGATGAAAGGGGACAATATCACGTTAATTCAAAACGTAAACCCGAGTGCGTCTGTTTGATAGGTTATGAAGTATTAGTTGTAAGTTCATTCCTCAAGGTATAAGAAAATCCTTTTTATTTTTTAAACAGTGTTCATGTGAGTTCAATGTAACGGTGTTTACATAATTAAAGTTAAGGTTAAATTGTCAGACGATTTTTATTTCCATCTAGTTACCCAGGTAAAATAATACCACACTGATCAGTGATCACACATAAGTAATAATAAACTGTTACCGAGTGTTATAAAAGGATTTGTAACAAAAACTGAGTTACAGTTAAAACTGTCTGAGAAAAATCAATGTTTTTCTCCAAATCTAATGGTTCATGTTAAGAGATGGATACTAAGTATGCAGTGTTATTTAATTATATTATTAATAAACACTACAATTTCACTATCATATACTAGAGAGCAGTCCTCTTAGCACAAAACTAGCAAAGCAAATACTACAAATATACAGTTGATATTAAACTGTCAATTGTCAAACACCAAGCGGTCACCGGTGACCGCAACCTATTGTTCTATAATTGTATCTATAATTTATTTATTTATTTATTAACACTTCTGTATAACGAACATATGATGGCGGACTTAATGCCGGGTGGCATTCTCTAACAGTCAACCATGGGGTGATGCAGAGATGTGCAACAGTAGGTGTAATAGGTATAATGGTTTATGTGATGCATAACTGTAAATACATACATATATCCATATATATAATGACGGTACTCAACAAGTTAATAAGGGAGGACTTGAATGAGGGCCTGTAGATGCACATAATTATGCAATATTTACATTACAGGTTCTACACAATGTGAAGTGGGTCTTAACAACCTGTAATGAATTAGTCTGCATGACCATTAATGTGAAAAAGCATAAAAAGCACCTTCATAAGTATTTGTATTAGGTGGCCTTCTGTTTACAGCATGGTGCATTTGGAAAAATGTGTAATTCCATAATCAACTGAAAGATATTACAATTTTTTTTTTCATTAACTGGCATTCAAGCTGCTGATTCATCTAAAATATGATGTAGGAAATAAAATTGAATAGTGTTCACTAGTATGACATGAAGGTAATGCAAGAGTAGTAAGAATTTAGAGCTACCATAAAACGGGGTGAATAGATACAGGAACGGGGAGATTCAATTTTAGAACATTTTCTCAATATTTATTCACCTGTATCTATTCACCCCATTTTACCATTACTAACAGTTACATAGATAGCCATAGTTGGCAATTATTGAGGGCGATTTTCACTACAATAAGAAAAACTTAAAATCAATCCTGATAGTTTCCAGTGTAGGTACTGCGATTATGTAGTAATCAATCAAATCATATGTAATAATCTGTGACTATGTACTGGCATAGTAATGTAAAGAATGTAATATATGTAATATTCATATTGATTGTATTCTATTTGGAACTTTGATCTACAAATGATGGTAAAGTAAGTATTACTAATGAGTACATTGTACCTACACAATGAGCAATAACTCCAAACTGCTACTGGTTCTGGACTTAGTTCCATATTAAAAGGGTTTGATTCAGGTTGAGTTTTATCTTGTTAGCTGTCTAATGTTCACAACTAGATTTAAAAATATGTGTGGGGAATGAAAAATATACTTATAAATTTAACTTTCAGATATGCTATAATTTGTTTGGACACCTGTGCGTTTATCTAGTCTTCATTAGAAAATGGATGCTGAATATAATGAATATCTAGATCTAATCTACCTAATTTCCTGCAATTTTTCACACTTAGGTACCTACTTCAACACATTTCAAAATAGTTTGTGCTTTTTTATTCTTGTTAGGTAATTATGTTTAATTACAATAGAGTTGACACGGCCTTACTGTCATAACCACTAACACAAATAGATAATATAAATAAAGATTTTAAAAGACAATAGTTGCGTAGAAATAATAAAGTACCTACCGTCTCTCAACAGGTGGTAAGAGCGCGTCGTCTTTCATGGAGCGTTGCATCGCGTTTATTGGTGACAACGCCGCAGACTGCGTCAAGACCAACGCCTTCCTCAACCTGCCCAAGGAAGCACTTATCAAACTTATTTCGTCTGATTTTGTTAGTATCAGTTTCAAAATTCTTTCGTTACGTTCCTTGCTTATGAAATCTGATTTGTACTTCAGCGCCATCTATGTGTTACTGCTTGATGTAATCGAAATTGCAAGTATCTTCCGCTACTGCCCAATAGATGGCGCGGTCCCAAATTTGCTTTGTATTCAAATAGAAATGTTATTTCTATTCTTATAAAAATATTAAATTACTTTAATTTTTATCAACTGAAAGTAGCAATGAACTAGTAAAAGACAACGAATTTTATTTGGGGACAATTTCATAACTTTATTTCTGTATCCTTTCAGCTATGCCTTGAAGAGGAAGAAGTGTGGCGCTGTGCTCTAGCTTGGGCGAAGCAACGAGCTGGTGTGACGCAGCCCACGGCGCACTGGACCGAGGAGGAGAGGGCCCGCGTCTGCCATCACCTCTCACCACTCATGCAGCATGTGCGACTTCTGCTCATTGGTAAAAAATACCTTAAGTACTAATTTATTAAAGTTTAATTTTTAATAACCCCATTATGTATCAATTATGTGTTAGTCATCGTCATCATCAGGCTATTTCTGTCCACTAAAACGTCTCGCTAATAGTCAATGCTCACTTGGCTGAAAGTCGCCTTAATCGTCTTTCTAAGATAACGTAACGTAACGTCTTTGTGGATTACTAGAAAGACGTTACTAAAGCTCAATCCAACAGTCGTAATTTACGGTTATGAAAGTATTTTGTATTAAATAATGAGATAGAGATTAACCAGAGTGGCGTGTTCAGACAGTGCAGTGTTCGCGGAGGAGGTGGAGCCGACGGGCGCGGTGCCGATGGAGCTGTCGCTGGAGCGCTACCGGCGCGCCGCGCTGCACGCCGCGCCGCCGCCCGCGCCGCGACACGACGCCGACAAGCGGACGCAACCACGGTCACACATACCACATACATGTCCTAACTCAAGACTTCGTATGGTGCCATCAGAGTGCCATCAGACCACCACGGATGGGGCCCAATAGGCCGATATAGAGCCGCGGAGAGCTTAACGTGTTACCGGGCTCCGGCTCGATATGCAGGAGTTAGAACGGGGTGGTTTTTAGTCAGTAAGAGTCTGACACTCCCTCCCGCCTCACACAGACGGGAGCAGCCATTTGATGATCTTCCCCCCTTAAAAAAAAAACTCAAAACTTCAATAAAAACAAAACCAACAGAACTCGTCTAAGACAAGTTTGCTCTCCTCAGACGTTGCACATATCTTTCAATCAACCTATTTACTAAAATTTTGTTTTATATATTTACATTTTTAGTTTGGCTGTGAACATGTTCACCGGATCATTGATACTGCAGCAAGAGAAGAGTACCTTCCAAGCTGTTATCAACAACTGGTAAACATTATAATTCTAATAACTTGTACATATGTAGGTATGTAGTCTCGAAGTTGTGATATCACAATAGTTGTTCATTGTGTTCAGGTGTGGTACTCCGAAGCAGTCGTGGCGTCTGATATTCCGCGCGTCCACGCACGGGTACTCCGCGCAGGCCTTCCACTCGCACTGTGATGGTGTGGCGCCCGTCTTACTACTGGTGCAGGTCACTATACATACACCATTCATTACAGTTTAAGTACATCACAGATGAACAATATTGATTTAAAGCAAATAAGAAAGAAAAAGCATTTAGTCGAAGGGTTTAAGACTGAATGGAAGCCATTGAGGAGGTACACAAGTGTATAAGTATCTATGGCAGTCTCTACCAGTCAACCTGAGGACAAATAACATAATGTTTTTAACAATCTTTAACTAGATGTCACCTTCAAAGTGACTCGCTATTACCAAGAGACAGTTAGATAGTCCGTACATTTATACCCACTTACCTTATCCAAAGTCTTAAAATAAGTTATATGAGAGTATCTGCCGTGGTGCGTGGCGCAGTGCTCCCGCGGCGAGGTCGTCGGCGGGTACAGCGAGGCGAGCTGGGCGGCGGGCGGCGCGGGCGGGTACATCCCGGCCGAGCGCGCCTTCTTGTTCGCGCTCAGCGAGCCCCCCGCGCGGTACACTCTGCTCAAGAAGGCGTTCGCACTCTGCTACCACCCCGAGTAAGTATTCACACTCAGACTCCTTAGACAACAATATTTCTCGTACGGTTTCAGTGTCTGTCACATTCCTTCGCCATTAAGAACCCGTTAACAGTCCACTGCTGCACTTTGATTCTTGCAACAGTGCACTCTTCACTTGGACTGGACTTGGAGCCGACTACATGAGACTTTACTTGGGAGTTAAAGATCGAAGTTTAAGTTCCTTTTCACACGTTCCAGTGGCCAGGTAGCCGGCGCCGGGTATGACCATGTACTATATACGCTTTTATACGTACCGGCGTAATTTGTGTAGACGGCAATGGCAAGTTTGCCCGGCAATGGGAATGTGTGAAAAGGCACTAAAAATTTGTAATCAGAGAGCGTTGCTGTGTCCCTCACACTAACGCTTTATTATGTCCTATAACCAGTTGTGGCCCAATATTCGGCGCGGGCGCAGACCTGTTGATCTCGAGCAACTGCAACTCGAACAGCGAGAGCTACAGCAACCTGCACTCGTACGGCGACCAGCTCGCGCCCGCCTCGCTCGCCGCCGACTACAACTTCACCGTGCGCGACTACGAGGTCTTCACGTACAAACATAACTAACTTACACAACGTTACTGAGTGGAGAAGAAACAGAGATTTTATTCAAATTATTACAATTATAAATCCATTCATGTGAATTAATATAAGAATAATTGTAAAATTGTTCCCAAGTGCTATATAAAAAAAACCGTGGAGTGTTTAATTTCCATAGAATCATCATTTCATAGTTTCATAGTAAGTACAAGTACCGCAGTTATTCAAGAAGAAACAGATACATAGTAAAAATAATTATGAATCCATCCCCGGAACGTACGTAATGTAATATATGAATAATTGCGAAAATGTTCCCAAGTGCTAATAAAAGAAATCAGTGACAAATATTTAATTTTCATGACAATGAAATGTTTTCATTTAAGTATATAATTTATGCAAATAAAATAGTATATAAATTGCTTTATTATTTTATTCGTACCT